ATACTTGAGTTACCTTAAAGTTCAGAAACTAATTACAATGTTATTATACTTACCTAGATTGGTCCTATCTTGTGTATTTGAACAACACCGGTATCTTTCTAGATGCAAAAACATGCCTAAATAAGTTAAATGTAACTCCTCCAGCAATTTTAAGAGTAGCATGTGGATGAAAAAGGGCCACATGCTAACCTGACTAACTCAGGGAAGGCCTGCATAATGGCCTTGCAAACTCAAGAGACCTAAGGTAATCACAAAGGATGGTCTGAAATTGAAACCTTTTAATTAAAAAGCAGTTTTTAGTGGTAGTCATGTCCGAGGCCAGTATCTTCCCTGACAAAGATCAACTTCAATCTTTACTGAGCCTATTGTCTTTTTGCATCTAAGATAACATACCTGTGGAATGTTAGGGTAACTTGTAACTTCCTTTTTCTGGACTCCTTAGGGTACAACAAATGGCACCAGTGTGCAGACCACAAATTCCCTCACTATTAGTTACCATGTTAATTGTTGACTGTTAGCTATCCTGAACCCACCTATGTAAAAGAAATATGTGTCTATCATTTTACTTTTTATCCAATCCCAGAGGTTTCCCCACTTAGCTTTCTCCCGCCTCCCTGATCTATTACCAATGGATTTCATGTAACCCAACTGCCATTCTCCAGAGCACTATCTCAATAAATTGAGATTCTGCTTCCAGGCAATTGTTGACAGTTTGGCTCAAATAAACTCACAAAAATTCCTTACAGGTTTGGGTTTTTTTACGTTAACAGGCATCTATATACAGTAACATTGGTCTTTATGCAAGATATAGTTGCCCCAATAAACTATATCTTTGCGGAAACAGAAGCTTTCATCATAACCAAGGCTACCATAAAAAATCCTGCTTAAAACATTTATCAACAAAAAAACCCAAGCCAAAACAAAACAGCTCTAGCCAGTTGTTCGGTGCTTAGAGCATCGGTCAGAGGACCCAAGGGTCACAGGTTTGATTCCTAGTCAAGGACACATACCTCCGTTGTGAGTTAGATCCCATCCTCAGTCAGGTGGGTGCAGGAGGCAACCAATTGATATCGCTCTCATGTCAATGTTTCTCTCTCTCCCCCCACCCCTTCCTCCATTATACTCTGTCTGAAAATCAATGAAAAAAAATCCTCAGGTGAGGATTTAAAAAACAAACAAACATTTCCACGCACTCAATGGGGAAAAAAATGAGATTGTTTGAGATTATGAACAGAACTATGATACTTGACATTGTGAGTTAGGATGGTCTAATTTTAAGTCTGCCGAGTTGAAAAAAAAAAAAGCTTCACTAAGATAACTGAAGAAACTTGAGTTTGTGAAAATCTCAAAGTAAAATATTAGAATCACATTAGCCCACTGTCAAAATTTCACAGGATTTTATTTTAACAATTAATTGGTCTGGTTGTACATTGTTCAGAAAAATATGTATAAAGATGCTTCCTATTTTAGGAGAACTGGCAGGCTTCAAAAGAACCTCACAAAAGAGTTGCTAGTAAGATTTCCTTGGAGACAAGCATCATCCATCACTGGGGAGACAGTTTATTTAAACATTCTTTAAGCAAAACTCCCATATAACTTCCTAGCCGATGCTTTACCTCAAAATTGTTTCACTTACACCTTGCCAGTAATTTCCTCCAACACTCTAAGGAAGGCCAGTGAAGAGATGTGCAAAATATTTTATTTTTAAACTTTGCTATAACTGAATTATACCAATAAGACTCAAGGTGTCTTCATGAATAATATCAATATAAATTCCCACTAATGTTATCCTTAGGTTTTCCTCCTCATTCTCCCTTATTCTCTATTGGATATCCGAGAGCATAAAAAAAAGAAAGAAAGAAAGAAAGGAAGGAAGGAAGAAAGAAAGAAAGAAAGAAAGAAAGAAAGAAAGAAAGAAAGAAAGAAAGAAAACCCATGAGGTTAAAGTGTTTACTTTTAACAGCACTGTTTACTGAGAAGTTCCTATGGTAAAAGTATTTTAAATACCTTATGTATTCTTTAAAAGGAAATTAACAAAATGATTTTAAATGTTTATATCTACCTACGTGAAACGGGTGAGAAACACTTTCCCTGAAATCTACATTTTCATAATCTATATATTTGTATTAAAAATATTGAAATAACATTCAGTGCACAATAATAACTCTTCTCAAAGTTGACTTTTATATATGGAATCCATCAGTTCAATAAAGTAGAAATACTTAACAGAAGGCAACATTTCAGGCTTATTTCCTTAATGTCAAATATCAATGGTTCAGGTGTTAAGTGTTTGCATTGTTCAGGTTTTTTGTTTATGTTTTTAAGTCTATCTAAATGGAACAGGGCATTTGAGTGCTTTTTTACCCACTTCAGCAATAAACATGGCTTAATTTTCAGGCCCAATACAGTAGAAACTCGATTTTCAAACTTAATCCCTCTGGGAGGCTATTCAAGAAGCAATTTGTTCAAAAACCGAATAATCGTTTCCCCATTAGAAATAATGTAAATTGAATTAATTCATTCCAGACCCCTAAATGATTGTTTTTAACCTTTCTTATATACAGTACATGTCTAATGTACAGTTCAGTCTATAAACAAATACTTACTTTCTTAAATTTATCAAACTACCCCTACTAGCCTTAACCAAATCACTTTCTGCACTGGGTCTAGGGGTCTTTCGGGAAGTCAGATATAGCATCTTCACTTTTTTATGTATCATTGCCTCAGAAAAGCTGACACCAGCTAACTGCTTTTGGTTTATCCAAATCACCAACAGTTTTTCTACCTCTTCAATTGCCTGTGATCATTGTTATCGTTTCTTTCACACCCTTAGCAACGTTAACACTCTTGATGGCCTCTTTATGTTTTAAAATTGTGCTAATCATCCATTTCACCAGAAACAAAAGCAAAAAAAAAAGTTCACAGCACAATTTCCTGAGATGTTAACCAGGCAAGATTTAGGTGTTTACTGCCTCATAGTAGCACATTCTCTCCTTTGTGGCCCGAGAGACACTTTTTGTCATGCTGATACATCAGCACAAAAGGGTTGTTAGGTCAAGAACCAAAGTTAACCTGGCATTTTTTCATGTACAACTTGGTCAAGAATCGAATTGTTTGAGGTGGGAGACCTTTGAGAACTGAGGTTTGAGTGTACTTACTTGCAGAAAATATCAAGATGGGGAAAACAGTCAGAATCAGAAATACATGTGTACACTGGTAAAGATTTAGTCAGGATTCCTTATACATACATGTTAATAATCTGAACTCTTCCCTACTTTCTATGAAATAGCCACCACTCTAAACAATATCTCATATTTTAATCACGGAATGACTTGCCTCAGTAGGAAACTAGAGTAATTTATGGAGTCTGGAGTTTGTTAAATTCATCAGATGCAAATTTCATTACCTTTCCAGGACAAAGCAAAAACAAAACGATTAAATAGCTCCTCGGAGTTTCCACATCCAATAAAAATTTATTCATATACTCTTACAAAAATATGTACACAAAACTGTAATTACAGCTTCACACTCACCAAAACAATTCCAGGTTGACCAGAAAGTCACTGGGAAAACATATGCTTAACATTGATCTATTTACAACTTCACCAAAAATGTTTTCAGTAATAATCAACACTTTCTATGACAATGCTTTCAGTGTTTACTCATCCAGGATCACATCCACTTAAATATCTCTTTAAAAGTTATGTTTGGATCAGTAAGTACTAGTTCCGTAAACATTAGTTTTTAATACATAGTATTCATTGGCCAAAACGCATTGTTTGCAATTGCCTTCCTTTGGAGAAAAAAAGTTACTTTAAGTCAAAGGTTTAAAGACTACTCTGACTTATGAAAGGAAAGCAGCTTGTCACCCAAAAAGAGTATAAAGACTGAGAGAAAACTGTGGCACCTAAAATAGAGAACATGAGTCATTAACGTAATCTAATACAATTTTCACACTGCACCTCTGTCGCTGTGCACCTAGATTTTTATTTATGTCATGGGAAGGTGGCTGCACTCTCCGAGGCCCCACATATTAAGCAGAAAAGAAATTCTATGCAAGCCATGTAGGTAAACCGCAGTGTTGGAGGAGGCTCTCAGTTTTAGTCAGACTTTCAAGCTGATCCTGTAAGTCAGAATTTTTGGCCGGAAACTGACAGTGCAGAAACAGGTAGGTGATTTCAAATTCAGGGCTCCGGTAGACTGGACATAGCAGTAGAATAAAGAGCTATGTTAACAATTTATTTCCTGTTCAGCATGTTCTGGGAGCCTTACTAGGTGGCCATAAAAAGACAAAAATCAAAAGTAAACAGTAAGAAAAACCGCGATTTAAGGCGGATTTGCTTTCTTCGCATTATCTCATCAGATCATGTCTGGGGCTCAAAATGAGTCAAAAGCGATGTCCCTCAGATTCAAGTTTCGGTGAAAAAACGGGTTAACGTTAATTTATATCCCAACTGAGCACATAAAACAGGGACACGGGTGCTACTCATGGTCAGCTGTGACAAATAAAACCATCGTCCTGACTTCTTGCTTCCTCTTTCTTTTCAGAGTGAGGACCGCTCAGAGCAAGAAGGCTTTTCCAGAAAGACTTTTCCAACGTGTACCAAGTTCAAAGAGGTCAGGCTGAGCGCAGGCGAGCAGCCCCACGCTCCGGGCCGCTGTACCGCCAACGCAGAGGCGAACGAGAGCGGACGAGGGCAGCGGACGAAGGCAGCGGACCGGGGC